TAATATCGTTTCTTCTAAAAAAAAAGGTTAGATCATACTCCGTATTGTTTAGTACTCGTTCCCCGTAGGGCTTGTTCGGTTACTCCGGGACGAAGGCCCGGAACGATTCCTGGTCGGAATGCTTCACTAATTTATATAAAGTTGATAACCTGAAATAATTCCTTGCTCCATTCCGGAACAACCGAACTCACCCTAAGGCCGCCATCCCGTCCCAAATCAATTGGTGCTATACAGGAAGCAGGTGCCCGGTACGTGAACTCCGTCTGAGAGTGCGTGTGGACATCAGCCGTCTATGGAACCTCCCAGGCTCTCAGCATTTGTCTGCATGCATACACACCGGTGGCCCCTACCAAAATTTTGCACGAGGTATATATGATTGAGCGGCCATTATATTTTTGTGGAGGTGCAGTAGCTAGGATACTTCGCAGGAAGTCGGGAGATCCTACATGCAAGTACTATACTGCTAGTATATATGATGCGCGGCAAGCAAACCGGCACGCGATGATCGATCGGGCAGGTGGTGACTCCAGGTCCAGGGCCAGGGCCAGGCTGGGTCAGACGTCAGAGGAGTTTCCACACTACTAGTTCTACGCCGTTCCCCACGTGTTCGCGCTGCAGGCACGCAACCACCTAACCTAACCCCCGGCTACTAGCTGCGGCTCAATCAGGCTTTGGAACCTGATGACATGCATACATGGGGCAACAGCTACGTACGTGTCGGTGTTTTAGACCACCGACGACGAGTAAATTTGTATTTATGCGTCTGGTTTGGATGGTGTGCTCGGAGAATACAAGGGTTTATACTGGTTCGGACGAAACGTCCCTACGTCCAGTTCACTGCTGCTCGTGTTACCGGCACTTAGTTTGCAGTATAGGTTACAAACAGACGAGATAGGGAAAGGATCCTAAGTCTCTGGTGGAAGGAGTGAACGGGTGCTGAGAGCTCGCTTGTAGCTTAGCTGTATGCTCATGTCATGCTCTTGTGTTTTGATCCCCCGTCGAGATCCTCTTTCATGGGGCGTCCTGTTTCCTCTTTTATAGGCGAAGGGAAAGCGCGGGTTACAGAGGAGGAAAAGGAGAAGAACGAGAAAGAAGAAGGCTTCCATGGTTGCCATGTCCTTCTTCTCCTTCATGCGGGTCCCGCCAATCCTGTAGATATCAATAGGGACGGCTCCATGTCGCGGCCTAGTTCGTCACTGACGTCATGCGCAGGCGTCATCTGCCGGTCATGGCGTTCCACTCCTTCCCGGCGGACATCATGGTGAACTGACGCGCATGTCAGCGTCCGTACGAGGATAGGCAGAACAGCACCAGTACGCCCGACACTGTTCTTGATGTGAATCCCCAGGTATGGCCGTCATGGGCACGGGTTACATCGAGACATGCCAGACACTTCCCTGACGTCAGAGTTTTGACCCAAGCCCATACGCTTGGACCTGGAATGGTTGGCCACGGTATGGGTCCCCGTCGAACGAGACGGAACCCGCGTCCTCGAGGTCGGGCGAGACGGAGCCCACGACCTTGGGCGAGACGAAAACCGTGCCTTTGGGGTTGGGCGAGACGGAGCCCGCACCCAAGGGGTCGGGCGAGACAGAGCCTGCGGCCTCGAGGTCAGGTAAGACGGAGCCCGCGGCCTCAAGGTCGGGCGAGACGGAGCCCGCGGCCTTGGGCGAGACGGAACCCGCGTTATTGGGGTCGGGCGAGACGGAACCCACGGCCTCGAGGTCGGACGAGACGGAGCCCACCGCTTTGAGATCGAACGAGACCTTTTAATACGTCTCCAGCCATTTGAGGAGGTCAATGTGGATGCTAACTATCTTGTTTTGGATATCCCTAATATCAAAATCTGACGGTACATCATCCACCTGATTGATCTGATGATTTCTTAACTGCTTTCTTCAGCTGCGGCTATGTTCGGCTGTCTGTTAAACCAGCTGCTGAACAAAACGCGAGCTAAAGCTCGAATCCATCCGTGTGATGCACGTTGAGACGGCGGCCACTGATTAGTACGAGTGCGCAGCTCGTGGTGCACAGGGTCAGTGTGTCTGTGACTTTAGTTTTGACCACTGACTTCACCTTTTTTGCATGGTGGACATCCCCGTCTCAATCAAACATGGAAGAGAGGGAAACGACAGCCAAGGGAAAAAGGTATCACTTCTAGACTTTAGAATTTTCAACTGTTGGATGGATGGTCCACGGAATCGATAATTCACCGTGGTCTTTTATTTGTGCTTTGTTACTATAATTGCATAGTTTTGTCTTCCTCAATTGGATGGATTTCTATTGCCGCAAACTTCTCTCTTTTCTCTCTTTGTGAACCTTATCGTGATAAACTCCATTTGTTCGGGTTTCCATTTCTGTAAAATAAATAAGTAAATTTCTCTAATGCGTTTTTTTAAAAGATATGTATTCTGTATACCGTTCAACTCGATCTCCACCTCAACACAAAGACAAAGCAACAATTATGGTGAAAAATGGTCGTGATAAATCTTATTTTGTCCCATCCTGATTCCTATATTTAATCTGTTTGTGGATTCGTGTTTACGGTATTCTGGTTGGTTTATTTTTTTTATTTTTGGAAAATTTGAAAACTGAATGAAAATAATATGGTTGGTTTTTTCGATCATTTTAGTTTTCCTGTTTTCTACGAGGACATTAAATTTTTACCTACACATGATATTTTATTTTAGGAAGTCCAATAATACACCATAGTCGATATCACACCACACCTGTGTCGTCTATAGTGGATTTTGTGGTTGGCTTGCTGAATGTTCTTCCACTCTTGTACTTTTGACACTTTATGGATCTTATGGTAATGTGTTGGTAGTGTTGGCATGTTGGGTCAATTAAGTTATCATAAAGAAGTTATTTTTAGAGTAAGTCAAAATCAATTTCTAGAGTTAGCTGGAAAAATCACCTCTAGTCATGAGTCTCTAAAAATCAAAGTTTTCTAGAGACGGCCAGAAACACCAACCACCTCATAACACATTCTCCAAAAAATATAAATCAGACACAAAAAAATAGCAAAAAAGAATAATACTAGGAGATGCCCACCTATAACCTCGCAACTTAGAAGTCACTGGTTATCCACGCAAAATAAATGCATGTGCGTCTACCTCAAGTCTCATGTGAGCCCCCTACCACTGCACTACAATATTACTTATGATTAAATGTAGGATGCTATTCTTTTTCTATTAACTTTTATAATTTTTGTATTGAATATTTTGGCTCCTAAATTATTTTTAAATGAGAAAAGGTTGATCTATAAAGATCTCATCAAGCATTATAACTTTAATTTAGGGAGTTTCTCCATCCGAGATCATCTCAAAAACTAAAAAATGAAATTCAAAACAAAAAGAAACTTAAAACATAAGTTTGAGACCCAAAATAACTTATAATGAAAAATGTTATCAATTATAGAGTCATCTCTTCAAGCTCTAAAATTTTGGTATAAAGTTTGTTTTCATCCGACTTGATTTCAAAAAGTTATGCGTTTTTTCTAACTGCACCTATTTTTAAGGGCAGATCACATTCCAACCGCCTCTAGAAATCACATTTCTAAAGTCATCTGAAGTTTCGACCTAGAGGCGGTCGGTGCTTCAAACCACCTCTAAAAAATAGAGAGCATTTCTAGAGGAGGCTGGAAACACCGACTACCTCTAGAAATCGGTTTCTATAGACGAACTATCTCATAAACTATTTTTAGAGACAGTTCTTAATAGAGTTGTCTTTACAAAAAAGGGACACTTTAAAAATCTTTTTGTTGTAGTAAGCATGTGAAGCCATGTTTCTTAATAGCTTATTTTAGAGACAATTTTTAATAGCTTATTTGGTTAGGCTCCTTATGGTGGAATATGCCCACTTACTGAGTTCAAATCTTCAAGTTGATGTGATTTCTCGCATTTTGTTGGATTTAATCTAAGATTTGACAACACTATTCTTATATAGATCATTCATATATAGATTATTCATATATATGATTACGTACTCCATAGATTTACAAATATAATAGAAGAAAAAAGGGGAAAAGAAAATGATTATCGATTGTCTTATATATATATATATATATATATATATATATATATATATATATATATATATATATATATATATATAAGGCTATTCTGTAGCTGGCCATAGAATAACTTATTCTATAGCCACCTTGATTTACTATAATATTTGTACCAATTTACGATAACATGAATATGCATTTACGATACTCGTGTTACTACAACTCACGGTGATATTTACGATAATGTTATAGTAAATCACTTAGTAAGGAGTTACTGTAATCTTGTAAATTAGCATGGTAATTATCGTAACTCAAAGTGACCACAGAATAAGTTATTCTATGGCCAGCTGCAGAACAGTATATATATATATATATATATATATATATATATATATATATATATATATATATATATATATATATATCTCAAAGTTCAACTACCTTATTCTGCCAAACTGTCATGCTGCCAAATTAATGTATATGCCAGATCTCTTCTCACTTATATTAATTGATTTGTCAACTCGTAAGCCAACGTACTAAACATGACATGAATATGCATGCTATTAATATTTATCAAATCATTACGGCAAACGATTACTTGATAATGCATTCAGGAAAAAAAAAACGATCAACAGGCGAAATAATGTTGCTTGTTCTTACAAAATGTTGTAATCTTTCAAGTAGCATTTATAACACTTGGGAGGGTGTTCCTCAATCTATTGAGGATTTGGTAGCCAGTGATTCTGCTGGGTTGGATGATTAATAAAGTTTCCAACAATTTCAAAAAAAATGTACATTTACACTAACGTATCTCTTTATCCAAACCCCATTTTGGGGAACATAATCACATATCAAACCTCCCGATTTAAGAGTACAAATCTTTACATGCAAAAATGAGCAAAGCAAAAGGTTTTGCCGAGTCTCTACGTGAGAATAGTCACCAAATGATGATCGATGTTGGTCGGCTACGGAATGCCGGCATGCGATATCAACAAGGGTAGGATGCTAGGTGCGACGCCAAATAACACGGTGAGCCCCTCCAAACTCTGACGTGCATCTTGAGCATCTCCCTCGCCCTCTCCCTCGGCCGGTCGCCGGCGGCTCCGGCCTGCACCAGGTACAGAAGCCTCGCGACAACTCCGACGGCAAGCATCTCCTGCAGCACCGCGGGGGTCGCGGAGTGCCTGGCCACCGCGTGCAGCGCGCGCACCGCGCTCTCGGTGGCCATGGGGGAGAGCCGCGTCGCGGCTCGCGCAACAACAGCCAGCCCTGCCGGGTGGGCCACGAGCTCCAACCGCCCTTCCGCGCAGCCGCACAGATGGTCGATGGCAACCGCCGCGAGCTCCCCCGCCCGCTTGCCGCCGTTGCTTTTACCACCGCACCCGTCGCTGAGGAGCAGCTCCACGAGCGCCGCCACGGCGCCGGCCTCGACCGCCTTGATGCGGTTCCGGCCCCACGGGCAGAGCCGGCAGAGCACGTGGAGCGCCACCTTGATGGCCTTGGGCGACAGCATCCTGTCCGCCACCACCATCACCACGCCCTCGACCAGCTCGGTGCTCGCCGAGCTCAGCCGCGAGGGCTGCATAGCCGACAGCGCCGCCTTCAGCAGGTGCATCGCGTACGTGCGCGCCCGGTAGCTCGGCCAGCGCAGCACGGACGCCAAGGCGTCCACGAAATCGTCGCTGCTCTCCAGGACTCTCTTCAGGCTCGCCTCGGAGAGCTTGAGAGAATGCAAGATGCTCAGAGCCGCCTCCTCCGGCGAGCACGCCTTGGGCGAGTCCGGCACGGCGCCGCACATCGGTTCCTCTTGGGATCCGCATCCAGCGAGAGGCTTGGACGACGACGTGCTTGCGGCGTGTTTCTTGACGACGGACACGAGGAACTCCACGGCTTCCGGCACGCCTCGACGCAGCGCCGGTTGCGGTCGCTCTCGGCGATGATGTCCGCGAGCTCCCTGAGCGCGGCCATCAGCTCCTGCTGGCCCTGGCCACCACCCTTCTTCTTGGCGCCGTCCACGATCGCGGCGACGCGGTCGGCGTCGACCGGCGGGCGCGGGGTCGGGAACCGCTCGACGGCGTGCGCGGCGCACCAGGACTGGATGAGCCGCCGGAGCGTGTGGTTGGGCGTGGGCTCCAGGTCGTCGGCGCCCAGCGACAGCTTGGTAACGGGGCAGTCGCCGTGCCCATCGGTGAAGAGCCAGCGCTCGATGCTGTCACGGTCGTAGGTGATCCCCGACGAAAGGGTGACAGGGTCCCGCATGACCTCCAGCGTGATCGGGCACACGAAGAACTTGGGCACCTCCACCGGAGCCGGCGCCGCCGGCGACCGCTCCATGGATTGTTATATTCTTGAGTCTTGACCCTGCCTGTTCTGCACGCACCACACCTTGCGCGTGTGGATACGTTTACCTGCGCACCTATCTACGCATGAAGCTCTAGCTACAAGGCGGAGAGACAGAGAGAGTCTGTGGTCCAAATGAGGAAAGGTTCTGGAGCAGACTGAGACGGGGGGGAAGAAGCTTTTTATACAGGAGAGGAAGAGGAGAGAGGAAGAAGAGAGATGAGCGCGAGGTTCACGGTCACGGCCAGCAAGTGGGTGCCGGACTGCCGGTGGATTCTTTTGTACGACTGTTTACGCAGGGATGGGAGAGGAGTGCTTCGTTGACGCAGGTGGTGGTTGATCCAGCGCAGAGCTCTGGTTGGTGTGGAAGAGAAAAAATATGGCGGCCGAGCTGCGAAATTAATAGCGAGATCACCGTCGGCCGCGCGGGATCGGAAGCGAGCGGAGGTCCACCGGCGGGTCGTACATGGTTGCCGGACGGCGCGGGGCGGCCACCACGAGGCGCGAGCAGGGACCACGAAATGTTCCGCGCCTTTGACCTTCCTGCTGGTTTTTTATTGTTTGGGCCTACCCGTCAACTCTTCCTTCACTCGACTCATGGCTTAGCTGCCTTTGACATTTTCTCGCGTCAGCTGCTGATCAGCTCGGAAAATTTTCAAGTTTCAATCTTCAATTAATTTCACTACAAGTACAATAATGCTTACCGAATTAGACACTGTTTAGATCCACTCAACTAAAATTTAGCTAGCAAAAATTTCAAAACTAAACTTTAGCTAGCTAAAAAATTCTCTCAGCTAAACTTTAGATGTGATGTTTGGATCCTCCAGCTAATAGACTCAAGTACACTTTAGTTGGGTTGAAACCGTTAAACTTAGCTAAATTTAGCCAGCTAAAGTTTAGTTGATGGATCTAAACAGACCCTTAATCCCTACAGTTCATGGTTAGGGTTGTATATGTGAAATATATATATATATATATATACTCTGATCACATCTTTTAAATGAAGGGGAGATAGATATGGGGACCCCTCTCAACAAAATAAGTACTGGGAACTATGCCGGTCTGTTCAGACGAAAAAAATAAGTACCTCATTTGTTCTAAATTATAAGTTCTAGTTTTTAGATACATTATAAATATCTAGATATAATATATATCTTACATGCATAGGAAAAGATAGGAATAGTACTTACGGATGCAGTGGTCACTTTTTTTAACCTTCCTTTCGATGATTTTTCTATTCTATATTTTTTTACATTCTTGAGTTCCAAATTGCCAGTAAATAGGGGTATTGTTTGTTTACCAAAAAAATGGTAACTAAGTATGTAAGTATTACCTAATTCTCTGGGTCATCGGGTCGACACAAAATTCATCCAATCAATTATCTAGATTTCATTCAAAGCAAGAAATACATAACGAAAATAAACTAGAGTCTTGACCCACCGGGTACCGCTTAAAAATACCTAGAGACTAGACTCTTCATACAGACATATAATATATATATATATATATATATATATATATATATATATATATATATATATATATATATATATATATATATATATATATACACATATACACACACATTGTTCTGTATCTAGAATGAGTTATATATATATATATATATATATATATATATATATATATATATATATATATATATATACACACACACATATATATATATATAGACACACACATATACACACTTACTGTTCTGTAGCTGGCCGCAGAATAAGTTATTATGTGGTCACTTTGAGTTACGATAATTACTATACTAATTTACGAGATTAAGGTAACTCCCTCATAAGTGATTTACTATAGTATTATGGTAAGTATCATCTTGAATTATAGTAACCCATGTATCGTAAATGTGTATTATCATTATCGTAAATTGGTATAAATATTTTCGTAAATCAAAGTGGCCACGAATAAGTTATTCGTGGCACCATAGAAATAACCTTACCTTGTGTGTGTGTATATATATATATACACACACACTTTGTGTTTCATATTAGTTGCCATTTTCGCCTTTTCAAAACTCAACATTTCTATCTTTGATCATCAATTTTTAGAAATTTCTAGTTTAATTAAAATCATAAATATTATGTTTTTAGAATCACCATGTGTCCACACATTGTTAAACTATAATAATTTATAGGAGTTAATGAGCAAATTAGAAATATTTGATTTAGAAGAACACTAGAATGACAGCTAATTTCAATAGAGGGATTATGTTGCTTTACTTTTTTTTTCCTACAAGTTGAACATAATATAATATGGGTGGCGAATAACAACCAAAATAGAGGTCAATTTTTGTGTAAAAAGTCTCCTAGGAGCAAATCGAAGAGCCTCTTTGTATCCTTCCAAATTTATAGGAATAAAGATTTAGGTGAAAATATTCTTCAATATTTTATTTAATTAGACCTTCAAATATGATTAAACTATTTTAAATTTCTCGCTGGCCGAAGATAGAGAGCGGGGTTGGCTCTCTAAATTGAGCACAAGAATCTGTTGGAGAAGATAAAGAGCATGATCTTTATTCAAATAGTTCTCCAAATGATGATTTAGAAAGTAAGCTTTAGAGAGACTCTTGGAGATATAGTTGTTAAATAGTTTTTTACTGATAATATGTGTCGGTGTTTTTTACCGCAGATATTCGATTCTTGGAGTAATTCCCCTGATGCAAAGAACAAGCACAGTAGAGACACGAGATTTATACTGGTTTCGGCCCTCGGGAAGCGAGTAAAAGCCATACGTCCAGTTGCTACTTGTTTGTATTACGATCTCATCGAATAGCGAGATGGCGATTACAAGATGGCTATGCCTATGAGAGTTTCGATGATTACAACAGGACGGATAGCTAGCTATTTATATCTGAGACCTACTTGCCCTACAAGTTACATAGTAGTGCCCTAGTCGGAGTCTTGGCGTGATCTTTAGATATCCTTCCTTGAATAGGCGAGTCGTGAACGTTCGGGTCTTCTTCGGTACGGATTCGGTAGCCAGCATATCCGGTAGTCGGGAATCCTGGGAGTATGGAACCGTCAGTAGCCTCCGAGCTTATCGGTCAAGTGAGACTCGGTAACCTTTCTGTACTCGGGCCTTTTAGGGTGTTCAGAATCGGGACTTTATCTCAAGGCTCGAGTTCATACCCATGAGAGCAAGGCTGATCAGTTAGAAGTTATAGGGTAGTATAGTTGGGTGATGAGCTATAAAAATAAAATAAGCCATACTCTGGAGTCATCTTGTCTTGTCAACGCGGTCTTCGTCCGAGTCAGGCGGCGGTAGTAACAACCTGAGTTCCGTTACACCATAGGCTCTCACCTTTTGGTCATCCGAGTACTACCAATCGAGCCCCATAGCAACCCCTAACAACTCTAACCGAAAAGACGTATTGTCTCAACCATCAACTACTCGGCAATGCATCAAGTCGACCCCTGATCAACCAGAGTCAACCGGACGACCAACAAACGAGAACGTCACTCGAGGAACCAAATGTCTGACATTGTGGCCATCAAGGGTAACCAAGGCGGTTATAGGCCAACAGGTTTAGGTCTTCTACAATGCCCAGGGAGAGATCATACCTCCGGCTGGCCGAGTTTTTTTCCGATGGATTCAAAGTTCTCAACCTAACGTGGATGCTCATATTTTTCTTTAATTTAGTAGTAGACGACATGTGGATTTAAAGTTCTCAACCTAATATGAATGCTTCTATTTTTCTATAATTTAGCAGTAGACGACATGTTCATTGGCATCAACCTAATGTGGATTTAAAGTTCTCAACCTAATGTGGATGGGTGTATTTATACAAGTGAGTATATGTGTGTATGTATAAGTGTTTATATCTTATTGTGAATAAAAAAACCATTGACATCAATGTTGTAATAAATTTATATTTTTTTTACCAGAAAAAAACATCAAGAAACACGAGCTGAGTGAAGAGGCAGGTTCAGAATTGCAAATTGGCCTACTCTACTCCAATTCGTTTGTCTTCTCTCCGAGGGAGAAAAAAGTGATCAAGCAAATTGGTCATAAAAGGTTATCCGACACCCCCGCTTGTTTGCATCCCAACATTTTGGTACGCATGTTTTCTCAATAATAAATAGAACATCTTTACTTGTACACACAGAAACAGCTCGCGCGCTAGCCAAATTTTCAACACACGACAACGGCACCCGCACAAGGCACGTCCATACATCTCATGCAACAAGAATACAAGACGAAGCGTGTGTATTTCGTGAGAGTTCACCATCACAGATTGATTTCGTGAGAGTTTGATATTTTCATGAGAACACCACCACGAAAACAAGTTATTTCGTGAGAGCAACCACCATGAAAATTACCCAACAAGAGCATCTCAATCCAAATTCCAATTGCACATATATGGTCCAAATGTCAATACCACACACACACACAGATATATATATTCCGATTTCAACACAATTGTCCAACCATTACAATAAAGGCTCATAGTCCTAGACTTCTAAGCGGCCAGCACATCCTGTCTCATTCCTAGCCATAACAGATGGTGGCGATAACTTTGGTGGTGCCCATATCTAACAACCAACCTGCACAGAGCTGTAATGAAGAGTATAAGAAAAATTTCTAAAAATGTAGATTTATCTCAAATTCATTGCCACAGCCGAATGGTAGCAGGAAGTTTTTTCCCCTTTAATGAAAAACAGGGTCCAAGACAACAAAATCAAATACCAAAACTGAATTCAAATGGATAGCAACCAGCTGTTCTAGAAATCTAAGTATGAACAAAAATCACTCAATCAACACATCGAGTATTTCAGCATGTAATAAACAGAAACAGCTCTACATGCATTAGTTATTTATTTGATAAGGAAACCAATCATGAAAGGAGAGCCTTCCCCCCAATCACTAGCTGGTTCAAAGCTTAAAGTTGGAGACAAGCTACATATGTAAACATAAACAATTGATAAATTAATCATTCCAAATCAAGAGCTAGAATATGGAAAAATCAA